GACAACTTTTACTGTAATTATCCAAATGTCACAAATTGGTGCACAACTTGATTATAATGTAAGATAACATTCAAAATACTGTAATCATAAAATTATAAATTTATTATTATTTTAACTAATCGATAGATTATATAATATTGTTTTTAATGTCAAGCAATATTATATAATACAACTTACATATTATATAATTGTGTTAGTTCTATACTCGAACAATGTTTACTTATGGTTATGCACCTGTATATTAGAGGGTAGCCAACAGCCTGGGTGGTTTATACCAGTATTTAGACCGTAATATATAAAATAATAGTGTATTTAATCTTGATTATATAAACAGATACTGATAACAAAACACTTTTCTATCGATATTTTGTCCATACATAGCATTTTTATGACTGTCTTTGTCAATAATTTTTCTGGCGTTTAATATATTTATTAAATTTTATTAACTTTTTCATAGTTATCAAAGCATAACATATTGGATCAGTTATTAATTTAACGTAAAAATCTTGTATTTTTAAAAATAAAAATACACTAAAAGTGAGCGAAGCGTTGAAACACTTTTTTCTTAAAGCATTTTAAGATTAAGAGATTTTAGATATTATTTGACAGAATTGTTGTAAAACAACAATCGTTGCAAATACTGACTGAAATACTTTTCCGAAACAGAGAAAAGTAAAAAATGCAAAAAACAATAAGTGATTGTAAATAAATCAATACTTAAATGCCTAAAACAAACAACAATTTTCTCTATCGATGATCTTAAGTACATTTTGGGCTAATTTTGCACTTTAAAAGGATATCGATATTTGTTTTACATACGAGTTTTCTATGGAAATTTCATAAGACATCTCAAAAGTACTATATTTTACGGGCAAATAAGTTGCGCAAAGAACTAGCGTTAAGTTTGTATGCGCTCACCTGTTGAAGAGTCTGCCGTAATGACTGAGATTGAAGGCCCAATTGGGCCAAAGCCACGGCCGCATGAGTCGGATGAGGAATATGCCACTTATGTGGTGCAGGGACTGGACGTAATCGAGGTTGGCGTTGGCCTGACAGCCGACTTTGATGCCCATCGCTGTCTCGCAGATCACATCCAACGTACACAACGTAATGATGGGCACGATATCAATCGACTGATCCGATTGGTCGCTGTTTTCGGCAATGATTGTCCGCAGTTTATGGACCAAAACAGTCGACTGTTCGTTAATAATGGGCGCGAAATCGTCCAAAATTCGGAAGTGAAAGGCAGGCGTCAGAATCTTGCGACGGGTTTTCCACTTGGCCTTAGAACTGGTCACTAAACCACCCCCTAATCACATCATATTTACATTGTTTTTGTAGTTAATCTCTGCTAATATTATCATTGAACGCATGGCTTACCCAACCAGGGCTTCAAAAATCTATATTCATCTGATTTTTCGGTCAATGTATTGCTGCTGAGGATTACCTGAAGTTGTAATCAATTTATTCATATTAAATATAGTATCGATTTTATAATAAATCATTTCTATTTAATAAAGAGATCTCTTTTTCCATTAACTGAAAAACTTTATTAAACTTGTGCACGAATTTTGCGAGCATTTCATACACATTAAACATTAACCATGACAAACTATCTCTTTGTCTGATTTGCATTTTGTATTAAAATATAAGAAATCGATTAATCAAATGACAATAACAAAAATGTCAAAATACCTCAACTTCTTGCGGAGTAAACAGTATAACAATAGGCTTCAAACCGATCCATATTTTGCACATTCTTTCCTTATAATAGATTAGATTCATAGCATTGAACATCTGATAGACAACTAAATTGTTGAACAATTAAAGCAATTTATTTTCCAATAATAATATGATTATTAATATTAAATAAGTTTTACTTACGGACATAAGTGCCAAATTGAAACTTAACTCGATCCAAGTATAAAACAATAACGGCGTGTCCTATCCAGGGTAGGAGCGGATGGACGGGCGGACCCGGCATACGGTCTATTGTGATGCAAAACTTTTTCCATTTATAAAACTTATAAATCATATACGAAAGCAATAAATAAACACAAATTTTAATTGATAAATTTTCACACGATAGCAAATTTAAATAGTTAAAAGTGTTGGAAAACAAACTCGAACTCATGTTTAGTTCGTTATATATTTTTTGTCACAAATGCTTTACTTTTGAAAGCTTTTTGATGAATGAGACCGACTTGTAATCAGTTAAGAAACTTTTTTGCAAAACGTTTATGCAATGATTGGGAACCGAGTTTTAACTCAAACACCAAAACGTGTGTTTCGTATCACTAATGAGCGGAGAGTGAAGTGTAAAAATTTGTAAAATCGGACTTTTTTGCTTATATATTGACATAAAATATTTGTATTCATCTTAACCTAAATTAAAAGGCATCGCTGGTGTCGGTCATGAAGTACAGCCCTAACAATGATTTGTGTAAAAATGTTATTTCCGATTGGAAAAACGCTTTCTCTTTCTAAACAGTACTGATATTATTAAAAAAGATTATTAGTTTGTCTTAAGTGTTATTCGGTGCCAATTAACAGATGAAGCCAATACTCGTGGAGAGTTATGCCTATAATGTTGTTAATCATGTTTTTGTTGTCCTAAAAGCACAGCCAACTAAACAATGCATTTTCTGTCCCCCACTATAACTATATATACAACCCCCCGCGTGTATTGGCTTTATCTGTTAATTGGCACCGAATAACACTTAAGACAAACTCGTGGAGAGAGAGAGAGAGAGAGTTATAGGAAAAAGAAAAAAGGGAGTGAATAGGAAAGGAATCTCTCCGTAAAGATTAGTAACGAAAAAAATTATCTTTTAATAAATGATTGTGTTTTGTAAATGAAATGCTGTTATGTTTTTGATCGACTATTTTTATTAGAAAGCATTCATACGTTTAAATGCCTTCCCTTTAAAAGAAAAGACAATTTATCGGCAATTGTTGTTCAGAGAGTTATGCCTATAATGTTGTTAATCATGTTTTTGTTGTCCTAAAAGCACAGCCAACTAAACAATGCATTTTCTGTCCCCCACTATAACTATATATACAACTAATTTGGGAGCAAATTGTGACCGAATTAACACAATTGAAGGAATGGGTGTTCTCTCTCTCTCTCTCTCTCAAAAAGTTATGTTCTGATGATGTGATCCTCAAATGCAATGAAGCGAAAAGTAAGACAACATATAAACAACAAATTAAATGCTGTTCTGATGTACTGAATGTGTGGAAACACTTTCACATCACATCTCAGCTATAATTCAATCACTACTTCCCGAACAGACGTTTATTTATATGACTTTCGATTTTTATTCCCTTTTAATGCATTTTTTGAAGTGCTTTTCCTTTTGGTTAATTACATTTATCTCTCACATGCCTTCCGACACAAAACATATAATTTATAGCTTATTAAGTGTTATAAAAAAAAGTTTATAAATCCATTCAAATCGTAATGACATCAAGAATTTTTCCACAATTTAGTTATAGAAAAGTTAATTCTTATAAATACTTGAAAATTGTTGAAAATGAGTAAAAATAGTCGTTAAAAATGCATTAAATAAGAGAATTATATGTTTATTGAACAAATTATAAGATTTATCATTGAATTTGTGGCCAAAATAAATGCAATTTTTAGATAAAACTATTCATTTGTTGGAAGTAAAGACCAATCGATGTGATCTCGAATCCAGTGGTGATCTAAGAGACCGAACGGATCCAATCGCTCGCGAACGTCGGGCTCCAGAAGTTTCTGAAGCAAATGGATGGCACCGCTGTGCACCTGATCCATAATCAAACGACTGATTGTCTTCTTCCAAGTCTTGTTCTTTTGACTTTCTAACATAGACTCCAGATTTGAAGAGTAGAACGGAACCGATTGGTTCAGCATTTCGTAGAGACAGACCCCGAGAGACCACATATCGCTTATAAATGAGTTGTATTCTAAGGACTGAGCACTCGGTTCGTCTTTATGGATCTCCTGTTTGATGATTTCGGGCGCCATATAGTCTCGAGTGCCCGCGAAGTGACCGCCTTTGATGGCCGCCTTGTCTTCTCTGTACACCATCTGTGAGAGACCGAAGTCACTGATGCGGATGTCTTTCTCGCCGGTCTTCGGGTTCGTAACTAATAACACATTTTCCGGTTTGAGGTCTTTGTGAGCGATCTTTAAACGATGTAAAAATGCTAAACCGGTGGCCATTTGTGCGAAATATCTGCAGGTTGTGTCTCTATTAAAGGGCGCGTAATGGATCTCTTCCTGTAAAGTGGATCCGTCGGCGAACTCGAGGAACAAATAAGCGATCTTTTGGTTGTCGTTATCGACGAGGAAGTGATCAAAAAGTCCAATAATATACCGATGTTTAGCTCTTTTGAGGACATATATCTCATACATGAGACTCCTCTCCATCTTCTCAATCTTCTCGGCTTTCAATTGGATCTGTTTGCAGGCCATCACGCGATTAGTTCCGGTCTCAACGACTTTGTGGACTAAACCAAAGCCTCCTTTTCCTAACTGTTGGCCAAATCTATAGCCGAGTTTTGCCATCAATTGATCGGTTGTCCGAAGCGTTTTGTCCGTTTTGTCCGGAATAGTATGGGTTTTGATGAGTTTGCGGTTCTTTACGGCTGTCTTCGCCATATATGCGGACAAATCGGGCGATTCTTTGCCCCCTTTTCTGTCGTTTGGATAATAAGATGTCGTGGACTTCGGAGGAGTGGTTTGTTTGGTCTGTTTGGCCGTCTCTTCGCCTGTCGTGGTGTCCATCGCTTTATTATCAGTCTTTGTGTCGACTTTGGTCTTCATTTTTGTGGTCACTTTCTTGGACGGAGTTTTGCTTTTGCCGTTTTTGTCACTCATGTTGTGTCCAGTCCTTCAGAATTGGGTCCAAAAGTAAGAATTTGAATGACTTTTCAAATTTCGACACCAATTCTGCATTCAATTCACGAATTGAACACAAATTACGTTAAAGTCATTCAAAAGTCAACCACTAATTGAATGAGTGATACATTTGAGACACAAATGCCATTCAATTAGCCGTTAATCGCAGTCAATGTCAACGCAATCCCAAGACATGTCTGTGTTGTGCATCCATTGATGAGCTGATCCGCCGCCCAGTGATGGACAGTATCGGCAAGAAGTTGTTGCTAAGCGCTGGCATCGGATTGGGTGTCGCCGTGTCTTCAGTGTCGCTGTATTTACTGCTCAAACCCGAAGACGAGGACAATGTTGTGGTGAATGAGAGCGACAAACGAAAGGTCAGACAAAACACACAATCGATGGTCTCTATACGGGTGCCGAAGAAGTGTGTGGGCGCTGTCATCGGCCGCAGTGGCGAACACATCAAACAGATCCAGTCCGAGACCAACACGAAGATCAACTTCGATGACATGAATGGCGACCAAAACGGCCACAAAGACAGCAGACTTTTGCTGATTAAAGGCACGCCTGAGAACACAGCGAAGGCTGAGATCGCTATCAATGAGATTATAAGACACCAGTCGTTGATTAAGACCAAGACGTTTGTCGTCGAAACGGTTTCCGTCGGCGCTATCATTGGCCGAAACGGCTCTACCATTAGGTAATAGACTGGCAATGGGTTTGGCTTTGGATCCGCTTTGACTCATACTATGATTTGTATTTCAGGAGTCTTTGCGATACGTCGGGCGCTAAGATCAAAGTGGACCGCAAGAACTCTATGGGTCGCAACACTAACGCCATCACCACTTCTGTGACCATTATTGGCACTGAGGAACAGATTAAAGAAGCGGTTCTTCTCATCAACCATGAGATCAAACAGAATGACAGCTTTAACCGCAATAGCAATACACAGAAACGTTTGACTAATTATAAAGTGTTGGCCATCGAAGGCGAAGGCGATGATAACAATACACTAGATTTGGACAGTTATTACGCAAAACTGGAACCAATTAACGATCAATTGATTGAAGTGTTTGTTTCATCCATTAAAAGTCCCGATAAGTTTTACGTACAGTTGGCCGGTCCGGGCGCTCAAGAGTTGGACCACTTCATGGAAGAAGTGACCGACTTTTACGAGAATCAGGACAACCGGATCTGTTTCAAGCCGTTGTCTGTGAAAGTGGGAGATGTAATGGCGGTCCCCTATCACGCCGATGAGCACTGGTATAGAGCGCGTGTGCTGTCACTCGAAGACAGACCCTATTCTCTGGAGGACTCAAATGTAGGCATTTTTTACTTGGATTACGGCGACGAAGCGCTCGTCAAATACAGTCAAATCTGTGACTTAAAGGATCAGCTCTTGAAACGATTGCCATTTCAAGCGATGGAGTGCTCGTTGAGTGGCATCCGACCCGTCAATCACACCAATTGGTCCGATGAGGCGATCGACAAGTTTAAAGAGTTGTCTCATATGGCGTTATGGAAACCTTTGTTTGCGAGATTGATTCGTAGGACTAATGATGGAAAGACTAAATATGTTATTGAATTAATTGACAATAAGCCAGACTTGGATAGAATAGACAATGGTGTGAATGGATCTAATGATGATGATTGGGACACACCTGCAGTTAAACCACTGAATATCAGTCAGGAATTGATAGCTCAAGGCTTTGCCATTCCCTTTGAAGAAGAATTGAGTGATTAAACCGTTAATTAGTTTTATATTCTTTTACTAACATTTGTTTTATTAACATTGGATTGAATTTATAATATTTTGTTAGTTTGTTAAGAGTTTTCTAATTTAATATTAATTAACAAATTAATACATAGAATACAATATTGATATGAATGCCATTCCTTAGCAATAGATCCTGATTTTCAAAGCAAGCATTCATTAATTGCTTAAAATAACGATTTCATTACTAATACAGTAAATCACTTTGAGATGAAGTATAAGTTGATATAGATTTGTCCCAAATGTTGTATCTTTTGTGATAATATACTTAATATTAAAATGGCATAAATCATCAATAATTTATAAGCTGTTCTCACATCACATGCCAATCACCTTTAGATGAAAAGGTTACCCATTTTTCGTACATTTTAAGTCAGTTTTGTCTAAATATTAGACATAATATGTAATCCCAATAAATGCCAATTTTTTAATCTCAAAAAACTATTTATGCAAAAACCAGATGTTATGTAAGTCTTAAAGGAGTGATAATAAATAAGTCATCTCTGGTTATACTCTTAAGTCAAACATTCTTTTCACATAAGATATTATCGTAAAAAACATGGTTTTAATTAAATTTAATTCATAAATAATTTTAATTCTAATGAAACAATTTTCTTATCTCGAAATTACTGTATAATATTCGTACAAAATTTAATTCAACGGCTCTTATATACAGAAATACTGTTTTTTATTGTATAGAATTTTTAAATAAATCTAATAAATGCTGTTTAAACGATAAAATATAATAATTTTTAAAAATATTAATAAATTTAATAAGTTATTAATAATAACTAAATCATTATAAATGTGTAAAAATTTGTATTTCATGATTGAATAGTCAAAAAATATAGTTTAAAATAATTGTTAGACTGCTTACAGATAAGGAACTAACTATATCTGAATTTACATTATTTTAAATTAATTGAACTCAAATTAAGTAAAGTATAAATATTTGTATACATAGTAGCAGTAATGGTGTATAACAACAATGAGGTCTGTGTCTAATGTTTAGATTATCTATTAATCCAAACCAATGGGACATTACATTTGTTTGGTCCGCATTTTATTGGTTCGGTTCTTGGGATTCCTAAAGCCGGACACGTGTTTGTCTTTCATCTTCTTCCTGGATCTGCACTTAACTAAAGAGCAGATAATGTTTTTGACGGACTCAGCGATGTTCTCGGCGGTCACGTCCCGACGCACGAGTGTTGACCAGTCGTCCTGATGGACGCCGAGCGGCACGTCGTGTATCTTTGGGGGCAAATCGAACTGACCGGCGGCCGCACCGCCCGTGCATATGATGGGAATCACTATATTGTCGTTCCACATGAACTCTTCGGCGATGCGCGCACTTCTGGGTCCGCCTTCTATTATAATACAGTAGTTGAAGAGTCGGGCGACCACTGAATCCCTCTCTTTGAATGAGTCGCCGATGAACAGCGTGTGACCGAACGGCAGGTTCTGAAACGTCCCGTCGGGGTTCTGACGCGCTTTCATTGATTGGTCCTTTCATTTGAGGCAAATTTTTGTTAAAAAACAATCAAAATCAAAGGTTTGAACAAAATATCAATACCTGTGACACATATCGGGGCAAAATATGGTACAGATTTGCGGGCTTTTCCTTCAACAATAGTTCCCGTTCTTCGCAAAAAGTTCTACCCGTAGTCTCGGCCACACCGTAGACACCACCTGTTGAACAATCAATTCATCATTAAATACGTTATTGAGAGAGAAGATAATCAATTTATTGAATACCTGTGACCAATACGAGGAACGGAATGCTGGCCAATGACTGTCCAATGGCTCTGCAAATGGCTTCGGAGAGCGGACTGAAGAACTTAGAGCTTCCGGCGACGTATACCAACACTTT